GGGGGGTGGGAGGGATGGGGTGGCTCGGTGATAGACATTGGGGAGGGTATGTGCTATGGTGAGTGCTGTGAATTGTGTAAGACTGTTGAATCTCAGACCTGTGCCTCTGAAACAAATAATGCATTATATGTTAAAAAAAAAAAAAGAAGATAGCAGGAAGGGAAAAATGAAGGGGGGGAATTGGAGGGGGAGACAAACCATGAGAGACTATGGACTCTGAGAAACAAACTGGAAGTTCTAGAGGGTAGGGGGGTGGAGGGATGGGTTAGCCTGGTGATGGATATTAAAGAGGGCACGTACTGAATGGAGCACTGGGTGTTACATGCAAACAATGAATCATAGAACACTACATCAAAAACTAATGATGTAATGTATGGTGATTAACATAATAAAATTTAAAAAAATGCTTAACAGCCTAGACAAAAATCCACTTCATTTTTCATTCATATATAAATGTTAAGAGTAGTAATAATCACCTGCTAGATATCTGAACCTTTTAAAATACATATAATCAGATTCGAGATGGGTACAGATACTCTCTTTCAGACTCAGGAAAACCTCTTAAACTGTCCTCACCAGATACAGTCAGCTTAAACAGACTCTTCTGAGTGCAATGAGGACTGGTATAAAAGACATTTAAAGAATAGGATTCCTCTAATGTTTACAAAATCAAGCTCTGTCAAAAATAGATATTAAAGACACACCTAATTTAAAAAAGACACACCTAATTGTCAGTGACTATTCAAATGTAGATCTACAACTAAACTGCAAAAACTTGTATACAGTTTTCAAAAAAAAATCAATAGTCTAAAATTTCAAAAAAAAAACATATACAGCACTTAGAAAACTGATGACTCTTATTCAGAGCATAAATGGATAAATGGTTTCCTCTGACCTTGTTTTTTTGTTGTTGTTAAGAGACAGACTGCATGGGGTTGGGCGGGCGGGCACGGTGGTAGAGGGAGAAAGAGACTCCACGCCCAGCACAGAGCCTGACACGGGGCTCGATCTCATGACCCTGAGACCATTACCTGAACCAAAATCAACAGTCAGAATCTTAACTGACTGAGCCACCCAGGCACCCCTGGCCATATTTTTACAAGTTTCTTTTTTTTTTTTCCTTTTTTTTTGTAGGCTCCACACCCAGCATGGAGCCCAATGCAGAGCTTGAACTCACGACTCTGAGATCAAGACCTGAACTGAGATCAAGAGTTGGATGCTTAGGGGCGCCTGGGTGGTTCAGTCGTTAAGCGTCTGCCTTCGGCTCAGGTCATGATCCCAGGGTCCTGGGATCGAGCCCCGCAAAGGGCTCCCTGCTCGGCAGGAGGCCCGCTTCTCCCTCTCCCCTACCCCTGCTTGTGTTCCTGCTTTAGCTGTCTCTCTCTGTCAAATAAATAAAATAAATAAAATAAATAAAATAAAATAAAATAAAATAAAATAAAATAAAATAAAAAAGAGTTGGACGCTTAAACAACTGAGCCCCTCAGGCAACCCTATTTTTAAATTAAGATTTTTAAAGATTTTTTTTTTTTATTTTAGACAGAGAGAGAACACAAGCTGGGGTAGGGCGAGAGGGAGAAGCAGACTCCCTGCCGAGCAGGGACCCCGATGCGGGACTCGATCCCAGGACTCCGGGATCATGACCTGAGCCGAAGGCAGTCGCTTAACCAACTGAGCCACCCAGGTGCCCTAAATTAAGATTTTTAAATAAAAGAAAAAATAAGCTCATTATTTCTTTAAAACTTAAAACAAATCAAAGTAAACATTTACTGAAGGCTCTACAGTATTTCATTTAATGCTCACAACTCCAAGAACTATGTCTACAGATAAGGAAAACTGAGGCACAAGAAGTAAAGAAACTTGTTAAGTGGTAGGGCCAGGATTCCAACCTATGTAGTATGATTTCAGAGCCTTTCTGCTTAACCACTATACATTGCCTTACTTGAAAAAAAGTCTGAAAACCACAAAAAAAACACTTTTTTGATCTTTCAAAAATATGCTGTTTATTTACATGTCTACTATTATTTTTAAGAAGTAGCTGATCGACCAATGAGTTCAAACAAAAGAGGCATAAGTACAGAGCTAATCAATTTTATTTTAGTGTTCATCATCTCCAAAAGTAATTACCTCCAGTTGCTCCTTCTGGGTAAATCCCTTCATGCTTTTTCCTGAGGCATGGCCAACAAAAGTCATCACTCTAATAAGTGGCTGATGCTGTAAAAGCATTTCTGCAATTTCTTGAACACTGTCTCGAAATGAAGAGAAGATCATAACTCTGGTCTCATCACATTTCTTTTCAGAGGTGTTTTGAGCTATATAATAAAAAAATACTTTAATTACAACTTTTTTTTAAAGCATATACCCAAGAACCATTTCAAGACAACCCTGAAACTATATACTAATGAATTTCTTTCAAAAAAGTAATTTAAGACATCTTAAACCTTTGCTGGTTTTCCTCCTACCTTCTCTAGTAATTTTAATATTCTTGGCTCCCTACCTCTCGTTGGCTGTCATAATAAAATCCTAAACAAATCAAGTAAAAATTACGTGAAACACTTTTAACCAGTCCTTCAATTCATTCCTGATGCCAGTTATTCCCCTTTATCTTCTAAGTCAGAATCACAGAACTGTAGCACTCCCACTGATTTCATAAATATTTCCTTTTCTTTTTGTCCACTAAAAGCACTCTCTCAGGGTGCCTAGGTGGCTCAGTAGTTAAGCATCTGCCTTCAGCTCAAGTCATGATCTCAGGGTCCTGGGATCGAGCCCTGCATCGGGCTCCCTGCTCAGTGGGAAGCCTGCTTCTCCCTCTCCCATTCTCACTGCTTATGTTCTCTCTCTCGCTGTGTCTCTGTCAAATAAATAAAATCTTAAAAAAAAAAAAGCACTCTCTCAATCCAGGCCATGGGATTCCGTCCCCGAATCTATGACACTTTCAAGTTCTCCAAGGATAACTACAGAATACATCCTATATAGTCAATCACAAAGCTCATCTCAAGATCTCTGTGCTTGGGAGGCAGAATACACAAGTAAGAACATGATCTTTGAGGGTGGGCCACTTAACTCTCTGGGTGATGTGTAACCATGTTAGTTAATCCCTTTAAGCTTTAATTTCTTCATATCTAAAATGAATGGAATATAAAGTATACAGACTTGCACATAGCAATTGGTTAATAATTGAATGTTGTATGGATTTTTTGTATGTTTTCTTTTCTTTTAAGCTTTCCTGTGATTTCTATTATATTAATCTTTATGCGCATGCCAAGGACTGCACTAAGCATTTTATTTATTTATTTTTAATATTTTATTTATTTATTTGACAGAGAGAGATATAGCGACAGAGGGAACACAAGCAGGGGGAGTGGGAGAGGGAGAAGCAGGCTTCCTGCTGAGCAGGGAGTCCGATGCAGGGCTCGATCCCAGGACCCTGGGATCATGACCTGAGCCAAAGGCAGACGCTTAACGACTGAGCGACCCAGGCGCCCCTGCACTAAGCATTTTATTTTTTTAAGTTGATTTTTTTTTTTAAGATTTTATTTATTCATTTGAGAGAGAGAGAGAAGAAGCAGGCGGAGGGGGAGAGGGAGAAAGAGACTCACTGCTGAGCAGGGAGCCCTATGCAGGGCTCGATCCTAGAACCCTGGGATCGTAACCTGAGCCGAAGGCAGACGCTTAACCGACTGAGCCACCCAGGCACCCCAAGCATTTTATGTATTAACTCATTTAGTCTTCATAACAACCCTACAAATTAAATGACTTAACACATGTAAAGTTAATTCACAACACCTAAGGAAAAAGCAAAAGCTGTTGCAAAGAAAATTATTCTACATAAACCTCCTTTGAATTATCAAGCCTCTACATTTGACCAACTCCTGACCAACTGCTACTTTCAATGCAAAGCCTATCACCTTCAACCGGCTACAGCCTGCCTTTCTACCTTCAGTCTACTGAAGGTCCTCTACCAAAGTCTCAATAAATTCCATACTGCCAAATCAGTGCTTACTTTTTAGTTCATTTTACCACACCTCTCAGCAGCATCAAACACAGTCCACACTTTCCTACTGAAATAGTCTCTTCCCTCAGCTTCTCTGCCGTTCACTTGTCCAGTCTCTTTCTCAACCTCTTTTGTGGCTTTTTTCTTTTTTATTTTTAAGTAACCCCTACACCCAATGTGGGGCTCGAACTCACAACCCCAAGATCAAGAGTCGCATGCTCCACCAACTGAGCCAACCAGGCACCCCTCCTCTAAACTTTAAATGTTAGTAGTCTTCAGGGCTACATTCTGGGTCCTCTCATCTCTAAACTGTATTCCTGGTAATGTGATCATAACCATTCCTGAAACTTTAAATATTACCCTTCATGCTATGATTCCAAAATTTATTCATATATACGTTAAGAGATTAAAAATAGCCCAGGGACGCCTGGGTGGCTCAGCTGGTTAAGCGGCTGCCTTTTGCTCAGGTCATGATCCTAAGGTCCTAGGATCAAGTCCCACATTGGGCTCCTTGCTCAGAGGGAAGCCTGCTTCTCCCTCTGCCTGCCACTTCCCATGCTTGTGCTCACTCTGTCTCTCTGACTTAAAAAAAAAAAAAAAAAGCCCAGACCATTCTTCTGAGATCCAGATTCACTTATTTGATGCTTACACAGTTCCACTAGGTATCTCAAAAGCATCTAAATGTATTTGCTCTTTCTTCTGTATGTTCTTTTTTTTTTGCTCATATAATTATTCAAAACATACACACACACACACTCATAGGATTCCTTTTTTCCCTCATATCCTATGTCTAATCTATCAGCAAATACTGTTGGCTCCAAATTCAAAATATATCTAGAATCTATACTCACTTAGCACCTCCACTACTACTTTCTTGGTACAAGCCACCATCATCTGTAATCTTCTTAAACTACGAAAATAGTCTCCTAAATGGTTAATGTTTATACTCGGCAAAAGCTACCAGAGTGATCCTTTAAAAATGTAAGTCAGATCACATCACTCTACTGCTCTAAATGTCCCTATAATGGCTTCACAATGCATAAACATTTATAGAATAAAAGCCGAAGTCCTGACTTGGCCTACAAGCCATATATGATCTGGTCCCTGGCCACCTCTTCAGTCTTCGCCTAAACCACTCTTACCCGCATTACACTACTCCAGCGGCACTGGTTTGTTTACTGATCCTTAATCATATCAAACACCCCACTGCCTTAGGGTCTTTGAATCTACTATTCTTTCTGCCTGGTATGATCATCCCCGAAAAATCTACAAGCCTTGCTCCCTCACTTCCATCAGGTACCAGCTCAAACATCACCCTACAGACAGTCTTTTTCTAACACCCTATATAAAACAGCACTCCTCCATGACTATCTCCTTACCTGCTTTACTTTTCCCCACCATTATATTGTATATTGCTTTACTGTCTGCTTGCCTTCTACTGCCCCAGACTTACTTTTCTTTTTCATAGAATACCTTATTCTTAGCATTCCCACCATGTCCCTCATCCCACTCTCCCAAAATTTCTTAAAGCTTTTTTTTTTAGGTTTATTATCCAGAGTAATTAAAAGCCCATCTTCTCCATAAAGTGTGAGCACAAACTAATGAGTCAGAGTTTTAGCTCTTTCAGTAGCTTTGTTTCTCCTTGAAGCTACAAACATGACTTACTATTCCATGACCTGAAGTGTTCAACCACAACTTCTTCTAATTTCTTTAACTTTGGATGACTATAGAAAAATTTTTTATCTTTAACTCCTGCAACAAAAACAAAAACACCAAAAAATTGTTATATATTTTCCATTCAATTACATTATGTATTTTAATTATCCTTTTCAAAATAGATTTGTTGGGGCACCTGGGTGGCTCAGTCAGTTAAGCATCTGCCTTCAGCTCAGGTCATGAGATCAAGCCCTTCATCTGGCTCTCTGCTCAGCAGGGAGTCTGCTTCTCCCTTTGCCTCTCCCAACTCATGCTCACACTCTCTCTCTCTCAAAGAAATAAAATCTTCAAAATAGATTTGTTAACTTACTTTTTTTTCTATTTATTTAAATAGTAAGTAGCATCTGTGTAGCACATAAGCCCTACTATAAAATAAACCTTGAATTTTTCTTTAAAGATTTATTTATTTATTTTAGGGCTGGAGGGGGAGAGGGAGAGAGAATCTTCAGCAGATTCCCCATTGAGTGTGAAGCCCAATGTGGGGCTCAATCCCACAACCCTGAGATCATGATTTGCGCCAAAATTAAGAGTCAGATGCTCAACTGACTGAGCCATCCAGGCACCCCTGAATTTTTTTTTTTATAATTTCATTCTAAAAGAGAATCCAAAGGAAATCAGCAGCAAAGTAGAAGGGAAAAATATGATTTAGTTAAGCTATAAATCAGTTTTTGGTAGTTCTGAGAATTTTCACTAACAACTACTACTAACATCTATTATATATTTAAAGTTTATAAGCTTGGAATATATATTTATCCTAACTTAAAGAATAAAATCTTTAAGCATTTAACAGACCTGTTGCTATAGAAATAAGTAATTATAGATAGACACGTGGATCAGTGGAGCAAAATTTCAAAATCTATCTGATAAAGAGAAATATAAAATTTTAAAAGAAAAACCAGACCTTTTTGGTCAGTAGAAAAGCCATTTGCTGAAGTATCACGTGTATGTGCAAACATGCACTCTAGATGATTATAAAGTTTCATGAAGTCCTCATTTCGGCTAAGTTCATTTTTTGCTCGAGTCATTCCTTCAGAAATTAGGAAAAGATTTTCCAAATTAGCAATGTAATAGCAAAATTAATCAAACTTATTATTTATTAAAAACAAATTAAACTTTAGCAATAAATACAAATTTTTCTAATTTAAACATGAAAGCCAGCAACTATTTCCAGTTCCACATTCACATTTGTATTAATGAATGGCTTGCTTTTTTATCACCAATTTATCAAAAACAAAAAAGCATAATCATTTGTTACATAACTATTTAATTGCTCTTTGTTGTTTTTGTTGTTGTTCTGTTTTTGTTTTAAGTAATCTCTAGGCCCAAAGGAGGGCTCAAACTCATGAACCCGAGATCAAGAGCTACACGCTCTACTGACTGAGTCAACTGGGCACCCCTATTTTATTGCTTGTTAAAAGAAAGCATTTTTAAGTAATCCAAACTGTTCAATACATGTTTAACCAAAATAATAACATGTCATTATTCCTTTAAATAATTTCATATAATTTACCTTTAGTTCCATCCATAATTCCACAAAGGAAGAAATATAATGATCTCATTCCCATTTGCTGCAGTAATTCATAACCATGATATAAACTAATACAAATAGCAAACTCTCCCTCGATTATGCCTTGTTGTATTCCCTAGAAAAACAAGCACATACTGAATTTAACCAGAGGAAGAAATAAAGATACATGTTTGGTGTGAAACTTACCACTCTACTGAAGGTCCACCTATTCAATGTCATAGGACATAGTGCCAGTGTATTTTCCATATAAAATCTGTCCCTTTTTAATTTTATTTTTTTCCAATACAAAACTTACATTTTAAAGAGAATAAGTGATGGAGAGAAATATTTATCATATACTGTTTCTCTTTCTAGGTAAATTATTAGCAGTATATATATATTCATTTGTTCTTTCAAAACTATTTAACAAGTTCCTACTACATATGAAGCACAGAGACAGGTATTTGGGATACAATGGAAAATAAGTCACATAATGGCCTATCCTCATAAACGTTACTGGCACCAGAACAAAATTTAATCAGACAGTTTAACACTAACATTTAACACCAACTATACATGCCATAATAACATCTGACGTTGTCCTAGGACCAGACACTTTTCAAAGCACATTACTTACACAAACTCGTTTAATCCCAACACCTGGGAGGTAGGTTCTATGGTTATGCCCATTTTATACATGAGGAAGCTGTAGACCCAGTATTTGAACCCATGGAATTTGGCTCAGGGTCCTTGTGCTTTTAACCACTACTCTCAAGGAAAAGTGAAATACATATTCCTTTTATGAGAGCATACAGCAGGTATAACTATATGATAGGATAATTTTTAAAAAGAGACCACTGAGAATAAGTTTTAATTATTTTCCTTTATTCAAGATAAAGACTATTATTCTCTACCTTACATCTTTAGTAGCATTCAATATCAGTAATACTCATTTTAAATGTTTGCAGGGTAGTGATAAATGCCCTAAAATGGCACACCAATTACCTAAACAAACTCTCATCAGTAAGATCAGGTTCAAGAGGTTTAGATTTACTACCTAAAATTTCAATGAACCTTTAATGCTTAGGAGAAATTAAAACATTCTATTAAAGTTTCGTATAATATACTAAATTTTATACTGTAATTTTACAGAAAAGGTTCCCTTAATGGTTCCCTAGATACTACCAGATAAAGTCTACATTTCTTGGTGTAACATTTAAAGCTATTCTTATGTGCTCATAACCTAGATTAACTATCATATCTGACTTCCTTAATCTTTTATCTCAGCCACATTGGCTTGTTCACTGACTCCTTCATACCTTCATTCAACTGCCTCTGTTCTTTTGCAAATGTATTCCCTCTCAGTTCAAAGAATGATTCAGTGCTTTTTTGCTTGTGAGCATCTCTTCTGACTTTGTACCTAGCTTGATGGGTATGTTCCTATCCATCTATTTTTTTTCCTAGGAAGATTAGAAATAAGCAGCTTACTATGATGCTTCCTCCAACCTCTGGTATCAAGAGTTAAGACTAAATAAATGCTCTAGGTCTAAAAGTTAGTTCTATTCTACCTCCTCATGGCACTTTGATAGGAATGAACTAAAATACCAAGTCTTTTATTAAAAGTTAAAAAATAAAATTATCTTAATTCAAAGCATTAAAGTATATTTTTGCTAGATTTTTGTCATGCTTTTTATAAACTATATAAATCATATCTAAATTTTTTTAATTTAAAATTTTTATTTTTTTACTTTTTTTTAATTACATACCTAAATTCTTGATAAGCTAATATATACCAAAAATCAATCATTATTTATATTTTATCTTGGGTCTAAATAAAAATTTAACCTTTCTCCAAAATTAATTTAAAAATACCTACCACCATATTTGGAGATGGGTTTTTCCTAAATTGATCTCTTGCCAAAATTATCTGGTATTTTGTTAGATTGGGGATATCCCTTCTCATCAAAACATTCCTCTGAATCAAAGAACTGGCAAATGCCTCCAAAACCTGCAAATTCCAGTGAAATTTAGTTTAAGCTTAAAGTCCTTTTTCAAATACAATCATTTTCTCACATATTAAAATAGAAATTATATATTAAATAAAGTTTGTCTTAAAATAATTTTTTAAGTAAAGACACAAAATAACAACAAAACTTAAAAGTACTTAACATTTATCCCCAGGTAACATCCATATGAGATTCAGCACAAGCAAGTATTGGATCCAACTAATTTAAGAACATATGTGTTTATCTGTGCATTTCTTAATTCCCCTCCTCCCCCAACCTACACACACTATAATCTAAGCACAAGGAATGAAGAGCCTTTGATTTCTCACTGTTGCATCTTCAATATGAAGAACAAAGTCTGGCATATAGGTAAATATTTGTAGTCTTGCTGACTAAATCAAAATGTCTTGAGTACATTCAGTTTGATTTGTTGATTCATTCTTTCAAGAAATATTTATTAAGCATCTAGTATATGTCAAACATTGTTCCAAAGGCTGGGAACTTGTAGCTGAGACAAATGAAGTCGCTAACTTTCATAAAGTTTACATCCAATGAAGGGAAGCAAAGAATAAGGCGTGAACAAAGAGAGTTTCTATTTCAATAAATGAATGTAAGAACATAAAACACAGTAACAGTAATGCTATGGAGTTTTGGAGGGAAGTGGGGGTCACTATTAAGTAAGGTAAACAAAGATGGTCTCTCTAGAAAGGTAATATTTGAGTTGACATCTGAATGATGACAAGTTCTGAGGACAGAGTATATCAGGCAGAGGAAATGGCAGACAAAAGGTCCTGATGCAGGATGAGCTTGATGGCACAATGAAGGAAAACAGAGAACTAGAGATGAAGACCTAGTATAGCAATATGTTATTAACTGTTTAAATTTTTGCCTAATTCTATTTCCTAAAATAGGGCTATTTTAGTAGAGTTTTATTTTTCTTCCCTTCCAGCTTTCCTGATATTACCTACAGAAGTACTCCAAAAGCATCCACAAAATGAAATGCCTACTATATGGGTTTATACAAATTATAATTTTTACATCCTTATATATGGAATGATTTTAATCATGACAAAATGTATTAGTTTTAAGGAGATGATTATTATATCAAAATAAAAAGCTTCTGGAGATGCCTGGCTGGCTCAGTCCATAGAGCATGTGACTCTTGATCTTGGGGTCATGAGTTCAAGCTACAAGTAGGGCGAAGAGTTTACTTAAAAAATTAAATAAATAAAATAAATTAAAAAAATAAAAAGCTCTGCATTACAAAGGAAACAACTGACAAAATGAAAAGCCAACCTACTGAATTAGAGAAGATATTTGCAAATGATATATCCCGCAAATGATATATCCGATAAGGGGTTAATATCCAAAATATATAAAGAACTTATACAATTCAACACCAAAAAAAGATCTGATTTAAAAAATGAGCAGAGGGGTGCCTGGGTGGCTCAGGTGGTTAAGCAGCTGCCTTTGGCTTGGGTCATGATCCCAGGGTCCTGGGATGGAGTCCCATGTCAGGCTCCCTGCTCAGCAGGGAGTCAGCTTCTCCCTCTCCATCTGTCCCTCCCCTCACTTGTGAGCACACTCTCTAATAAATAAATAAAATCTTTTAAAAAGTAAAATAAATAAATAAATAATGAGCAGAGGACCCGAGTAGACATTTTTCCAAAGACAATATACAGATGGCTAACAGACAAAAAAAGATGCTCAACATCACTCATCATCAGGGAAATGAAAATCAAAACCACAATGAGATATCACCTCACATCTGTCAGAATGGCTAAAATCAAAAAGATGCGAAATAACTAGTGTTGGTGAGGATGTGGAGAAGAACCCTTATACGGGGGAATGTAAATTGGTACAGCCACTGTGGAAAACGGTATGGAGGTTCCTCAAAAAATTAAGAGTAGTACCATATGACCCAATAATTTCACTACTGTGTATTTACCCAAAGGAAATGAAAACACTAATTTTAAAAGGTATATGCACCCTTATGTTTATTGCAGCATTATTTACAAGAGCCAAGATATGTAAGCAACCCAAGTGTCCATCAGTAGACAAATGGATAAGGAAAATGTGGTAGGTATATAGAGATACATATACACAATGGAATATTACATAGTCCAAAAAGGGACAAAATCATGACATTTGCGACAACATGGATAGACCTAGAGGGTATTAAGATAAGTGAAATAAGTGAGACAGAGAAAGACAAATACCACAGGATTTTACTCGTATGTGGAATCTAAAAAAAAACAAATAAATAAACAAGCAAACAAAAAGCAGAATCAGACCTATAAATACAGAGTCAAAGTAATGGTTGCCAGAGGGGAGGAGGTTGAGAAAATGGGCAAAATAGGTGAAGGGGAGTGGGAGATACAGGCTTCCAGGTAGGGAATGAGTAAGTCACGGGAATAAAAGGCACAGCATAAGGAGTATAATCAATGATATGGTAATGTTGTATGGTGACAGACAGTAGCTACACTTGAGACGAGATAGCGTAACATATAAACTTGTCAAATCACTATGCTGTACCCCAAAACTACTGTAACATTGTGTGCCAACTATATTCAAATAAAACAAATTTTTTTTTAATATTTTTTTTAAGATTTTATTTATTTATTTGAGAGAGAGAATGAGATAGAGAGAGAGCATGAGAGGGGAGAGGGTCAGAGGGAGAAGCAGACTCCCTGCTAAGCAGGGAGCCCGATGTGGGACTCGATCCTGGGACTCCAGGATCATGACCTGAGCCGAAGTCAGTCGCTTAACCAACTGAGCCACCCAGGCGCCCTAAAACAAATTTTTTAATCAAAAAGGAAATGATTACTGGAAATAATTAGCCATATCCTAAATTAATAATGCTTAGAATTCTGTTACAAATAATTTGAAAACAAAGCATATTTCTATAAAACTTTTCTTTAAGACTTATTAAAGGTTAAATGATAAATATTTTGGTTATCTATTCTTATATAACAAAGTACTTGAAAACATCATAAATCAAACAACAACCATTTTACTTGCTCATAATTCTAATTCTTCAGGTAAAAATTCAAGCAGGTCACTGAGAGCTCAGGCCAAGATACCACATTAACAATGTGCACACCTAATACACAGATTTTGTTTCAAAATACCATTCTTCCATAAAAGTAATAAGGATTCCTTGGAGAAGTGGTTGATTCCATGGCTGGGACACGAGAAATACTAAATGAGCACAAAATATCTTGTGTAGCCAGAAAGTTAAGAAGTGTTAAAAAAAAAAAAAAAAAAACAGTACATGTCTAAAGGACACAAAGAACTCTAAATGGCCAAAGTTGGAGCAATCTGAGCAACAAAATTCATACTAATATCAGTATTAGATTGAAGCGGAGAGGAAAAAAAAATTACCTATTAGTCTATACTGATACAAAGAATTGAATTAATAAATAAATCAAAGGAAGAAACAGGTCTTCATTCTAACTGACAAACATAAAAGAATTGAGAGAAAGAAGAAACCGTGATTAGGTAAACATAACAGAAGTAACTGTAGCAGGCAAGAACCATCACTGCATGCTAAAATTAGAGAGCAAAATATGCTGAGAAACAGAACATTTGAGTAGTCTCAAAGTATCTCCCCGACTGGACCTCTCTATACTATTTGTGCATATTTCCTGAAAGTCTAAAACCACTGCAAAATAAAATGTTAAAAATAAAAAAGAGGGGCGCCTGGGTGGCTCAGTTGTTAAGCGTCTGCCTTCGGCTCAGGTCATGATCCCAGGGTCCTGGGATCGAGCCCCCATCGGGCTCCTTTCTCCGCGGGAAGCCTGCTTCTCCCTCTCTCACTCCCCCTGCCTGTGTTCCCTCTCTTGCTGTGTCTTTCTCTGTCAAATAAATAAATAAAATCTTTTAAAAAATAAAAATAAAAAAGAATTCTGTCAGGGCACTGCAGGGACAGCTATTCTCTGTTCTTTGATGTCTGGAGCCTTGAATGGCTGAATGTTAAGTGTAATACCTCAACTGGAGCCATATGTCTACACCTCAATTCTAGCTATCTACCAGTTCCTCCTTTCTCCTGAACAAGGCTTAGCTGAGGTTCATCATGGCTTACTCGAGGTTTATCACATTCTGTTGGTCAAAGTCAGTCACAGAGCCAGTCTAGATTAGAGGGAAAAGGAAATGCATCTTATCTCTCCATGGGAGGAGTGTCAAAAGAATTTGCAGGCATCTTTAATCTGCAACAATGAAGATAGGAGAACAAGATGTTCTTCTAGCATGACACTAATTATGAACTATAGAAAAAGTATGTTACCTCAAATTTTTCCCATTGAAATTGATAACTGGCTAAGGAATTTCTCAATAGCTACAATACTGACATTTGGCCCAGATAATCCTTTGCTGTTGGGAGACTATTCTTGTTCATTACAGAATGTTAAGCAGCATTCTTAGCCTCTACACATTAGATTCTAGTAGCAACTCTACTCTCTACCCCCTCCAGTTATGACAACCAAAAATGCGTCAAGACATTGCCAAATGTCACCAGGTGGGCAAAACTGCCTCCAGTTGAGAATCACTGCTGTATAAGGGATCCAGGAGGAAAATACTGAAAATATATTTTCTTACAAAGAAACTTCTGGTTAAATTTGGACATGTCTTATAAGTGTGTTCCCTATGTGAAAATTCACTAAGCTATATACACTTAGGTCTTGTACACTTTGCAATTTATATGTGTGTTTTATACTGCAATTAATAGGTGTTCTTTAAAAAATAAGGCTGTTACTGGCTTTAGAAATGGTCCATCATTTTGTATTGCTTCTTTAACAGTAACTAACAAATAAAACATGGTACTCATTCCAAAAATTTTAATTTCAAAGAACTGTTTCAACATACTAATTATATAAAATGATATAACTATATATTCTCACATCCAAAAATTTTAATTTCAAAGAATTGTTTCAACATACTAATTATATAAAATGATATAACTATATATTCTCACAGCCAGATTCTACAAAATAAAATAAAGACATTATCAGTTCACTTATCAAAACTCTGAATAGTAATAAAAACGGCTTACCTGGATATATGCCTTTTGGATGGCTGCAAGTTCTTCACCTAGGGGAACAACTAGCTTTTCAACTCGCCTTTCATGAGAGTATGGCAGAATATCCGGAGAATCTTCAGAACGAAGTTCTATCTGCCCAATTCGTAGGTTAGTAATAACCTGTTGAACAGCCTACAGAAAATCAAGTATGATTATAACTACATTACATGTTAAATTTTTAAGCTTAGGTTACCAACAAAAATAAAATAGTGGTAAAATTTAGAATACATATCATTAAACTTCTTTTTTTAAAAACTATAAGTTACATCAGAAGTAGTACAAGAGGAAGATAAGGCTTTGAAACATTTTTCTTTCATGCAGCACTTTCAGCCAAGCATCCAAGAAATAAGAATATTAGTAAACATCCAACAAGTTTCTCAAATATATTTTGCACTTTTCAGTGGTAGTGACATACTCACTCCTTCCATCTACATTTAGGCAAAACAGAAGTTTTGGGTTAGCAAACTAAATCCCCAAAACATTATATAATAGTCAATTTTAGAGTCAGAACAACAACCCAAATTTCCTGGTTCCCTAGCAAATACTTTTTTTCCAGTGATTTTTTTTTTGTGGGAAGAACAGAAGTCTTGTTACTAGTAAAGGACACAAATGTGTCTTAGGAATACTTTACAAATTGGCTTGTTAAGAAATTGAGGGTATAGGGCATATAAATCAATTACTGATAAATTAGAATATTTTCCCTTTAAATCAATACAGATTATATGAATATATTGCTGGATATACTTGTAAATTTCCTTCACCCAAAGCTTATAAAAAATTTTATTATGAAATTGCATAACTGGAGCAAAAACATATAACCTGTTGGTATAAAGAACTACTCTACCATTAAACTCCTGTACTGACTGTGATCAAGAGTTCAAAGAAAGAACCCTAAATACTCCACCAAAACACTTAGAATAAATGAATTCAATAAAGTTGCAGGATACAAAATTAATATACAGAAATCTGTTGCATTTCTATACACTGATAACAAAGTAGGAGAAAGAGAAATGAACGGGACGCCTGGGTGGCTCAGTCAGTTAAGCATCAGCCTTTGGCTCAGTTCATGATCCCAGGGTCCTGGAATCAAATCCCATATTGGGCTCTTTGCACAGCAGGGAGCCTGCTTCTCCCTCTGCCTGTCACTCCCCATGCTTGTGCTCTTTCTTTCTCTCTTTCTCACACACACTCTTTCTCTCTGACAAATAAAATCTTAAGATCTTATAAAGAGAGAAATGAAGAAAACTCAATTTACAACTGCACCCAAAAGAATAAAATACCTAGAAATAAATGTGACCAAAGAGATGAAAGACCTATTGCAGCATTATTTACAATAGCCAAGATATGAAAGCCACCCAAGTGTCTGTCAATAAATAAATAAGAATTTAATAGACTATTACTGAGCCATAAAAAAATGAAATGTCATTCACGACAACATGGATGGACCTAGAGGGTATTATGCTAAATGAAATAAGTCAAGAGAAAAACAAATGCCATATGATTTCACTTATATGTGAAATTTAAAAAACAAAACAGACTCTTAAATACAGAAAACTGGTGGTTGCCAGAGAGGAGGTAGGTGGGGAGATGGGCAAAATAAGTGAAGGGAATTAAGAAGTACAAACTTCCAGTTATAAAAGAAGTCACAGAAATGAAAAGTACAGCATAGGGAATGTAGTTAAGAATGCTGTAATAATGTTGTACAGTGACAAATGGTGACTACACTTGTTGTGATGAGCACTGAGTAATGTACAGAATTGTGAAATCACTAGGGTGCCTGAGTGGCTGAGTTGGTTAAGTGTCCAACCTTTGATTTCAGCTCAGGTCATGATCTCAGGGTCATGAGATCAAGCCTGGTGTTGGGCTCCATGCTCAGTGCTCAGAGTCTGCTTAAGACTCTCTCCCTTGGGACACCTGGGTGGCTCAGTTAAGTGTCTGCCTTCAGCTCAGGTCATGATCCCAGGGTCCTGGGATCGAGCCCCACATTGGGCTCCTGGCTCAGCAGGGAGCCTGCTTCTCCTCCCTCTGCCACTCCCCCTGCTTATGCTCTATCTCAAATAAATAAATAAAATCTTAATTTAAAAAAACAGTTAAAAGAAAGAACAAATGAACAAATGGGGAGGGAGTTCTGAAAGCGTCCAGAAATTAAGGGCTTTTTTTAAAGCTAGAAAGTCTCATGAGCTTTCAAAAAACAAACTAAACAGGGACACCTGGGTGGCTCAGTCAGTTAAGCATCTGCCTTCAGCTCAGGTCGTGATTCCCAGGGTCCTGGGATTCAGTCCCGCATAGGGCTCCTTGCTCAGCAGGGAGCCTGCTTCTCCCTCTGCCTGCCTGCTGCTCCCCCTGCTTGTGCTCTCTGTCTCTTTCTCTCTCTGACAAATAAATAAATAAATATCTTTAAAAAAAGAAAAGAAACTAGACATAATTTCCTATTTATTTATGTAAAGCAATCTCTACCCCCAACGTGGACCTTGAACTCATGACTCAGATCAAGAGTCACATGCCCTAGTGACTGAGCCAGCCAGGTGCCCCAAACAAACTAAATGTAATTTCAAATAAAAAATACAACAGGAATCACATCTTAATCACCTTTGTATTCCCAACACCTGGTAGGGTTCCTAATATATCCTAATCCTAACTATAGCTACTGAGGGTCCACATAATCTGGAGTAGAATTATGACCACTTTATAAAACTGAGTAAGATGTTACTATTTTTAATCATTCATTCAACAAATATTTGAATGACTCCCACATGCCAGGTATTGAGTTGGTAATAGAGCTTTGACCAAGATAGACATAATCTCTATATTCATATAGCTACTATTTTCATGGGGCAAAAAGACAACAAATACATGTATAAGTAAAAAAAAATGACAGATTATGATTAATATTAAGAAAATCACACACAAAAAAGAAAATCACAAGACAGGGAGTGCTATCTTTTGATAGTTTAGAGTAAAACTTCTTGAAGGGGCAATATTTTAGCAAAGACTTAAAAGGTGACTAAAAACAATCAAGCATGTTTAAAGTGATTGAAGTACGATCAGAGACAGCATAGAAATTTCTGAAAAATATCAAGGCTATGGACAGAAGGAAAAAAGTCTTACAACTTGACAGAATTGAAACTTACCTTAGAAAGTCTTCAAAACCCAATACAGAAGACGATTCAGAGCTACTAAAATTAGAGTGTAAACCTGAATTTTTACTATCTTTTAATAAAGGAAACCAGAGCCCCCTGGAGGAATGGCTGATTCCATGGTTGGGCATGAAAAATACTAAATGAGCATAAATATCTTGTGATGCAAAATAGGAAGTATTCAAAAGGAAAAAAAACGTTATCCAAAAGCACACAGGCACCATCTTAAAGAAGATCCCAATGGCCAAAGTTGAAACAATCTGAGCAACAAAATTAATAATGATAGCACTGGATTGTAGCCCACAGAAAAAAACAAATATCCATTAGTCCATATTGATACAAAGAATTAAATTAATAAATGGGAGAGAAGAAACAGCTCTTCATTACAAAAGAATTCACCTTAACAAATGTAAAAGAAATGAGAGGAAGGGAACAATGATTAGGCAAACACCACAGAAATAAGTTGCAAGCAAGAACCATCATTGGATGCCAAAATATTTACATAATCTCAGAGTATATCCCCCGCAATATACTCACTAATTACAAAGGGGAAAACAGTTAATTTTAAAATGCGGAAACTGGGAAGAAATCACCTTGACGAAGTCAAGATTAATAGCAACAGCAGTAAGACAAATCACCATCATGTAGTCTCTGCTACCATGCACTGAGAAAGGTAGAGCATCACCTCTGGAGTATTCTTGCCAAAAATGCATAACCTCACTCCAATCATGAGAAAACATCAGACAAACCCAAACTGAGGAATATTCTACAAAATAACTGGCATTTGCTCTTAAAAGCATCAAGGTCATGGAAAACAAGAAAAGACTAAGAAACTATCACAGATAGGAAGGACTAAAACATGACAACTAAATGCCAGTGAGATCCTGGACCAGACCCTGGAGCTGAAAAGGATAGGGGTGGGAAAACTGACAAAATTCAACTCAGGTCTACAGATTAGTTACTAGTACTATGCCAATGTTAATTTCCTGGTTTTGATAATTTTACTATGGTTATATGTTAACACTAGGGGAAGCTGAGCAAAGGAGAGATAGAGACTGCAATTTTTGCAAATTTTCTGGAAGTCTTTGTTCAAAATAAAGCTTAAAAAAAAAAAACCCTGAAAATTTAAACAATTTAAAAAACACTTACACTAGGGCACCTGGGTGGCTCATCGATTAAGTGTCTGCCTTCAGTTCAAATCATGATCTCAGGGTCCTGGAATCTAGCCCCAACTTGGGCTCCTTGCTCAGCAGGGAGCCTGCTTCTCCCTCTCCCTCTGCCCCTCCCCCCCTTTGTGCATGCACGCCTGCTCGCTCTCTCTCTTCTAATAAATAATTAAAATCTTTAAACATAAATAAATAACACTTATACTATTTAAAAATTTACCACCTTTAACAAACTACTTATGCATACTGACATCTAAAAACTATAGTGAAGGGCGCCTGGGTGGTTTAGTCGTTAAGCATCTGCCTTTGGCTCAGGTCATGATCCCAGGGTCCTGGGATCAAGCCCCCGCACTGGGCTCCCTGCTCGGTAGGAAGCCTGCTTCTCCCTCTCCCACTCCCCCTGCTTGTGTTCCCTCTCTCGCTGTGTCTCTCTCTGTCAAATAAATAAATAAAATCTTAAAAAAAAAAAACTACTAGTGAAAAAAAAATTTTTTTTTAATTAAAAAAATAAAAACTACTAATGTAGAAAATCTCCTCCAACCATAGAAAAAAACATAGGCATGTGTAAGAAATGTTGTAGTCTTGATGTCAAACTAAATACTAGAACGACAGGGGCACCTGGGTGGCTCAGTTGGTTAAGCAACTGCCTTCCGCTCAGGTCATGATCCTGGAGTCCTGGGATCGAGTCCCACATCGGGCTCCCTGCTCAGCAGGGAGTCTGCTTCTCCCTCTGACCCTGCCTCCTCTCATGCTCTCTATCTCATTCTCTCTCAAATAAATAAAATCTTAAAAAATAAAATAAATAAACACTAGAATGACAAACTGATCTGGGCCCATACAAAAGTTCTTACTTTCTTAAAAGTTAAGAAATGGAAAGACATTTTACTTACCTTTATATCACTACCTGGTGTGGCACTAAGAGCCAAGATTCTAAAGTGATTTGTATATTTGACTAGTTCTCTTACAACCTTAAAAAAGAAAAAAAAGTTATTTAATTTCATCTATCCAATACAAAAACAACAATTCTGTTAAAGAAGCTATTATATATGTTCCATTATCATTATTTCTTATTCAGAGTAAGGGATGGAACTATCATGAATCACATTATCTGAAGAGCAAATAATTCAGGTTTTTACTCTACACCAATCAAAAATACCTTAGGGTTTCTTCTATACATAAAGCCACAATGCCCAGGCCTAATATAGAAGCAAATCAAAAGACTTAGTTAATTCAAGGACAAATGGAAGAAGAGAGTCTACTCTCTGTTGTTTGGTCCATAGTTTAGCCTTACAGCTATATCCATATGCACACCTACCAGATGAAGATAAGTCATAAGAATAGAAAAAAAAAAAATACTGGTATGAAATTAGATGTGAAATGGAAAAAAAAATTGTTTAAGGAAAAGATTTTAAAAATCCAACTTTCCTTTTAAATTCTAACACATTTTCTCAGTGGCACCAAAGCATCATTCTAGATGTTGCAATATGAATTCAACACCCATGTCTGGTATGATTAATATTGGATATTCCACCAGATTCCCATATGATCCTACACATGAGGCCCCAATACAAGGAAAAAGGACTGCTAAGTAAACTGAATTGCAGGAATAGCTCTCAATATCCTATAGTTCTGCATTAGATATAGGAAATAGTAAAACCAGATTACCTAAAAACTGCTATTTTAAACCACGTAAAGAATGAATTCAGTGAGACTCACAATGACTCTTGACTAATCTCAAAAAAAATTATTTATGGAGTTTCTTTTTAACATGATATAGAATACATATTAAGATAGAACATTATACTTAACACTGAATTGTTCTAATTAAACTGATGCAAGACAAACCCTAATACGTTACTTTTATGCAAGGGGGATTCTCATGCATTTTGTAGAAGACGAAATAGTGCTGTTTGTAACCCAGGAAGCTACATTCTTCATGGAGTTGGTGTGCCCGTTGGAATCTACATCTATAATAGTCAAGGCACAATAAGCACTCAGGGCTGTCTGGATATTAATGAAATCAGTGCATGTCTCCACTGTACTCCATAAAAGCATAAGCCTTGTAATTTAAAAAAAAAAAAAAAAAAGTGTGGTGCCTCGGTGGCTCAAGTCCGTTGAGTACCTGACTCTTGATCTCAGCCCAGTTCTTGATCTCAGGGTGGTGAGCAAGACCCATATTGGGCTCTACACCCAATGTGGAGCCTACTTAAAAAAAAAAAAAGACCCAATGCTAGAAATTTTTTGAAAAAATAAGTGAGTTAAAGTTGCTACGTATAAGCTATATCTACAAAGTAAATTCAGAGTTAAAAAAAAATTTTTTAAATGCCCCACTCAAGCAGAAACCTTAACACACTGGGTATTAATTTAACTTGGAAAGATATAAAAAGTATATACATCCATTTCTTGCCTAAAATCAATTCTAAGAAAGATAACAATTCTCCAGAAGATAACACAGAGATATAATACAATAAACTCAACTTAAACTTAAGTTCCTTAACCAGGGAAACTATAAATTCACAAACTGGCAGTAAAATTCACCTCTTTGCACTAAATAAAATCAACTTTCCCTTCTATTCTTACTCTATACCCTTTCCCTGATATCACCGGCTTATAGTTTTACCTATGTACCACCTATATGTTGATGATTTCCAAATCTGTATTCCAGCTCAGAACTCTCCATTGAGATTCATACTTCTATCCCCCACTGCCCACTGGGTATCTATAGCTAGATTCCTCATGGACACTTCAAACTCAACAATCTAAGGGTACACTCATTATCTTTCCACAATACCCCAAATCTTCTGTGCCTCCAGAACTCTCCGTTTTGACTAGAGCACCAACATCCTCACAGTCTTCTAAGTCAGAAATCTGGGAGTCATCCTAAATACCTCCTCTCCCTCACTGTACACCCTGCCTTTAGCCCTCTACTCTTTTAATCTCTTTTAAATCTTAAGTATCACCCCAGGTAAACATTTTTAAATGAGTCTCCACCACCATTATCCCCTATATCCTACAAAGAGCATTCAAACTGCTAGGCATATATAAATGCCTTCATGACCTGGACTTTAAGTATCTCTCCAGCCATATCCCACCTCTTCACCTTTCTAATTTATATTTATGTAGTATGTAAGTAACTAGAAGGCATTGTGTTAGGTATGTTGCCTACATTATGTCATTCAATCTTGGTAACAACTCTTGACAGTTAAGTATGATTTTACCTAACTGCCAAGGAATGACACTGCATATCCACTACCAATCTTTGTTCCAAAATTCCACCCATAGCCTATTTTAAATCACTGCCTCAACCATGACCAGGCTTTCATCATCTACACCTGACATTAATAGTGTTAGGGATTTAAAAAAAAGAAAAGACAGACACTGATTTGAATGAAGTATTTCCTTCGTTGAAATAATGTGGTTTTTTCATAATGGTAACACAATCAATAACTTCCATCATTAATAAGTATTCACCAAAACACTCTTTAGCAATATGTTCACAGTACAAAATACTTTTAAATGAAATATTACCTGGCAATAAGCATAGTTTCCAAGAGCTTTATGAGCTTCATCTATAACTAGACACTTTATTTCAGCAGCAGGACAAGCTCCTCTAGAAAGATCATTTACCATGACTTGAGGTGTAAGAAAAAGTACTCTCTTACTGCGCCATATTTCCATCCTGGTGATAGCTTGAGTAGATCCTGTAAACAAAAGTGACATCCTATATTCTAAATACCAGGGGTGTTATCTTTAAAATATCTATAAATAACCTGGCCTAATTTCAGAATGCAGTCCTGCTTTGGTAATGTGCCTTCAGACAAGACCAATTTAACAAATCTCTGAAATGTCACATTTTAAAGCTCTGTTGTGATCCAAATGTCAATGCTGAGACACAACTAGACTGTCTTTAGAGAATTCCTACAAAATGGCATAATATCTGGAGAAAAGTAAATTCTTCAACTGGGAGATCTTTCTGGGGAAGAAAGTCAGAAAACCTCCTGTTCGTTCACTTCTGATGGGGTATACACGCAAATCGCTTCAAAATGCTCCGACAAATTACGGAAAGTCTCTGAAAATTGAGGAAAGCAACCCTTTTTGTGAGGGCCAGACTTGCTACAAGTAGATAATGCTTTAAGGGAGAGGATGTAAAATACGGATACTGTGATCCGGGGACTATTCAGGAATTCTTTTAGCTCAATCTCCACCAGAATGCATGCTTTCCCGAGCACCCTGCTCTTAATTTCAAACTAGCCCATTTCCTAAGATACCTGTCATTTCGGCCATGTGGGACTGCGGAATACCCATCACTCGGTAGCAAGCCTCGATCTGCTGCGTCACTAAAGGTTTCGTGGGGGCCATGAAGACCACCTTGCCGGAAGGGAACCACCGGTAGAAATTGTACATGACCACAGCGGCAATAAAGGTCTTTCCCAGCCCAGTAGGCAGACACACCAGCGTATTGCAGAACAGAGAGGTCCGGGCCATGTGCAGCTGGTAATCCCGCACTGGGCAATTGGTAGGGTAAATCCACAGGGAGCCCGCTGAAGTGCAGAAACCGCCATTCTCTAAACTCAGCTGCCGCTCTGCCTCATACACTGCAACCAGCAATACATCATCGTCCGACTCCGGCTGAGCCTCGGCAGCCTCTGCAGCTGGAGGAAAATGTGCCCTGGAGATGCCAGGGCTCTGAGGCCGCTCAGGTCCAGAGTTGCAACCCGGAGCTCCCACGGATCGAGAAATGCTTGAGCCCCACGTCTGGAAAAGCGTTCTTTGCCGTCCGCTCATTAGGCTGACGACCACCAAAAGTTTCTCTCAGACGCTAGCAGTTTCAACAGCTCAACCGCCACCATTCGGATACCCATCGGTTACCTTCGCACAAAACAGCGGAACGTGAGGGCGGGACTGCAGCCTGTTCATCTAGTTAAAAATGCCGCCACTGAGTTTGCGTCGGAAATATGATTGGCTGGCTTCCCGGAAACCCTTGCGGCCTCCCGGAGACGCATGCGCATTGTTATGGCGTTTGTCTAAATTTGGTCCGCGGTTCAGTTTCTTCATAGACTCTAAATATAAGTTCCGTTCCCAGTGACTGTGTTGTCCCGGCCTAATACTAAAGTGCTATTGATTAAAATGATAAAAAAATAAATAACTTGAGATCCTAGGGACAACGGATACCCATATTTTTGTGACTTTAACGTTGTTGAGCGAACAGTTCTTATTCTTTATTGGTTTATTTTTAAATCGGAAAAAGAGGAGGTGAAAAACAAAAGAGTTAGGTAGAATTAAGTATCTTATTTCTTTACAAAAGTTGAGGGGGAAAAAATGCCCGGTCTCTTTTTCACAGTATTTGCAAAGACAGCCCATTATCTTACTATTTTTATTGTTAAGAGTGAAGTGAATGATTTGGTCCCGTATTCGTCGGAAAATCCGAAAGAAAAAAAGTAAGGCTTTCCTGAAACTCCACCATTACATCTTCATAAATTATATAGAGCAGTACGCTTTGGTGTGGTATTATTCTATTCTAGCGATAGCTTTCTACCTCAGGCTTGGATACAATTCCCGGCTTCCCCACTCTAAACCTTGGTAACTTGGAGTCACCTCTGTAAATTTGCTTCCTCATATACACACGAGGTACACATCATGAGGTTGTTTTGAACATTAGTAATATCAATATCATCCGCAAGCATCATCCTGCGTGTATCTTCTTTATATCATTTTATTTGGTCAAGTTTATTTTTTTTTAAGATTTTATTTATTTGACAGAGACAGTGAGAGAGGGAACACAAGCAGGTGGAGTGGGAGAAGGAGAAGCAGGCTTCCCGCTGAGCCTTGAGCCCAATGCGGGGCTCGATCCCAGGACACTGGGATCATGTCCCGAGCCCAGAGGCCTAGCGACTGAGCCACCCAGGCGCCCCCGGTCAAGTTTCTTGACCTTGCTTTTAAACAAACTTTCTCCTGTGTTTTTATTTATTGGGTGGGGAAGGGAAGAGTTGTATTTTAGTTTCACTTGTGTGAGTTTTAAAAGGGAGATAGTGAGTATGGGTTGTTCTGATGGGAAGGACTGAACCTATTCAGGTGTGAACTTTTAGGCTAGAATTAGATAAAACGTGATTAGAAGTCTGAATGCTGTTGTTTTCTTTAAGCAGGTTATATACGGGCTTTAAAGACATAGCAGCCCGTCGGTCATACACAAATGTAGGTAATGGCTGGTACAGTGGCAACAGTGGTTGCCTCACAAGGGTTCCAATTAAGAGCGGATGACAGCTTCAGGTCATCTGCTAGTCCGCTGCAAAGACCATATCAGCCGGATTACACCCGAAATCAACCGAGGTCTTCAAAGCACAGCCTCGACGTCACTCAAAGACGGGCCCCAATCCCGCAGCGTAGCGCCGTGACCCCCCCCCCCCTCGAGCTCCGGGCGGGGTCCACGCCACGCCCCAAGGGCGGGGCGATGCTGAACCGAGGCGGGCTGGCTCAGTAAAGCAGAGGCAGCGGGGGAAGATGGCGGCGGCCGTACCACAGCGGGCCTGGACCGTGGAGCAGCTGCGCAGCGAGCAGCTACCCAAGAAGGACATTATCAAGTTTCTACAGGACCACGGTTCAGATTCGGTACCAGAGGCGGCGGGGCGGCCGGGCTGGTGCGGCAGAGGGACGCCTCACCCCCCCGAGATGCCCGTACATTCCGTATTCCTTCGTGCCCCCGCCCTCGTCGTCCCGCGGCCGGTGGCCTGGAAGGCCGGAGAGGCCTCGCGTGCGCCGGGGAGCCGCGCTCCCGCCCTTTTGGGCTGCCCAGTTTGGGTGGTGGCGGGGGGGGATCGGCTTTATTTCTTGGGCCAGGCAGGCAGGCAGCAATCGCATAATTAAAACCTCCCTGGGATCTTTGAGTGAGGGTGGAAGCCATGAAAAAAAAGAACCCAGGAGATACGGGGTTGGGACGGGTGTCCGAGCACTGGGGACCTGGGTGAGACCCCTGCAGAGGAGAGTAGGCCATTAGAGAAATGGGAAGGATTGTGAAGATTTTTGTGGGAACGGTATGTGCTTTTTGCTTTTCTCATCGATTACTAAATACTGAACACTAATGCTTGTAATTTTTAAAAATCCGTGGATTGCGGTTTAACTTTTCAAAATATTGACTCTTTACATGACCTTTTCACCTTTATACTGAGGGTAGTTAACTTGCGCATTTAGTGTACAGTATCTCCCATTCTTAGACACAAACTAAGAAATGTTTTTGGCATTCTTTATCCTGTACGCCCTGCATTTTTCAATATAGTCTCCATCTTAACCACCCGACTCTGGTCACAAGTGTTTTGGTTTTTTTGTTTTTTTTTTTTTTTTGGTTTTGTTTTTTGTCACACTTGACTTTTTTCCCTTCTAAAATTAAGAGCGTTCATACTTCTCAAATTGATGAACCACTGTACAGTTTCTGCACTCTGCATCCCCCACTTATGGGAAATAGAAACAGCAGTCTGTATGGTTTCTCTACAGTTTTTCATTTAAGTTCTAAACATGCATTAGAAAAATTCTTTCTGGGTTCTTCTGTGAGGATTGTAGTTTATTTTCATTTTGAGGTGTCTTAAAGAGGAGATAAGTTCTCTAACAACCAGTTCCATACACCTAGAGTGAGTATCCTGATACCAGCAAATATTTATACAACATCAATAGCAAGAACTATGCTCAGTGTTTGTGAATACAGGGTAAAAGAAAGACTATGCCTCAGGTATTCCATTTTATACTATTTTAGTGGAGTTATTTTCTCTTAAGTCAATTCGTATTTTCAACTGGAACAATAGAATAAATTAGGCATATCGTTTGTTAACATTTAATGCCTCAATACTGTACTTCATCAAATTCTTATAGAACAAATGATCCCAGTGTGAAATCTAATGTAAAACTGGCCCACCTGGGACAATTTCAAGGGACTTGAATTATCAAAATATTTTTTTAATAGATTAATCTTTTAAGTGCATATTCTCTAGTATTCAGTCACACTTAAACCTATATTTGACAATCACTGTTTTATTGATCATAAGATATCAAGGAGATGTTTATATTTTTGCTATTTTTGGAATCTTACTAAAGAAATCACAAGAATCCTAAAAGCAACTGATTACTTCCATTTAATCAAAATAACTTTTCCCCATCAACCTTTATCATTTAGAACATTTCTCTAATTGGGGGAGAGGAAAAGCAGAGGAGAAAAAAATACAGTAGTGGTAGTGTTAGAAAAGCTCCTTTATCAAAAGGATAGAAGATGCCAGAGGACAACTTGGAGAAAGTAAAAAAATGAGGAATCAAGGACCAGAAGGCAGAAAAGGAAGCAGCATAAAATAAGGAAAACAAAGACATTATTAAAATTCCCATATTACATGATTTTGAGATGAAGTTATATTTTGATAACTCGATATTTCAGAAGTACTATTTTGGTGTCCATTTGCCAACTTAGTTTAAGTTTGCCAACTTTAAGAGAAATGGAATTCTGTTACTTTGAATTATTAAGTACATTGTTATTAGCCCTAATAGCTAATATTTATTGAGTTCTCACCATGCAACAGACTGTATGTTAAATACAGTAAATGGACTATTGCATTTATCCTTAAAACAACCCTCTGACATTGTTGCTGTTATTAATCTTCCACTATGATACAGAAACTGAGTATTTAGGAAAGCTTAGTGCTTTGTCTAAGATCAGGTAGTTAGGATTTTAATACAGATGATCTGACTCCTCAGCCCACACACTTCACCACCATATATCCAGCATTATATAACAGTGCTGCCAAGAATGGGTTACAGATTTGTCAAGATAGCTATTCCCGACATGGTTGGAGACTCCCAGGGCCAAGAATGGGTTACAGATTTGTCAAGATAGCTATTCCCAACATGGTTGGAGACTCCCCGGGCCATGGCCAAGTAACATCCTGCCAGTAGCAGCATCATCCAGTTACCAAAATGTGCTTGCTGTATGAATGTTCTGTGAGTTCTGTAATGGGAAAAGTGTTAGTATGCAACAGTGTGACCCCCACATAATATTACAGTTACAGTCTTGTCAATAATTTTTATAAATATATTTTTTAAATCTTTTTTTGTTATGAAGTAGGGTATAAAATATGTTTAATTTCTTCCATCATGAGTAGTTTTATTGAAGATATAATTACTAACATAAAAGGTCATTTTTCTAAAGTTTAGACCCTTATTACATGAGGGAGATTATTTTGACTAACCAGCTTTTTTCTTTATAGTTTCTTGCAGAACATAAGTTACTAGGAAACATTAAAAATGTGGCCAAGACAGCTAACAAGGACCATTTGGTTACAGCCTACAACCATCTTTTTGAAAGTAAAGTGAGTATTGTTTCATTTATTACAAGAATATTTTTTAGATATTTTATTTACAAAAAGAAGCTTTAAATTTATTTGCAGAATATGTTTAAGTTTTTCCACCTGGAGTTTTTCTTAACTGTAATCATAAATGGACTACTGCCAAATCTAGGAGAGCTAATCTGCAGTATGGTGGAATATTAAGATATTTTGAAAGGAACCAAAGTTTTAAAAATAATTCCCAGGATGCCTAAGAGGCTCAGTCATTTGAGTGTCTGACTCTTGATTTCGGCTCAGGTCATGATCTCAGAGTCCTGAGATCAAGCCCTGCATTGGGCTCCCTGTTCATCGGATAGTCTGCGCTTGAGAGTCTTTCCCTCTGCCCCTCCCCACACTTGAACATGCCCATGCTCGCACTCTCTCTCTCACAAAATAAATAAATAAATCTTTAAAAAATAATAATAACTCCCTGTAGCTTAAATTAAGACAACAAATAAAGGTACTGAAAAGCTAAAAATCCAAAGTAAGTTCCATTTCATTAATGAATTTGAAATCTTAGTTAGACTTACGCTGAACCTTTAGAAAAACAAATTTTAAGAAATTCTCCAATATTTGTTCACTATGACCATCTTCCACAACAAAGAGTCTTTATTAAGGAATTGTGTGAATATTTTTTAAAGATTTATTTATTTATTAGAGAGAGAGAACACAAGAAGGGAGGAGGGGCAGAGGGAGAAGGAGACGCAGACCCCCTGCTGAGCAGGGAGCCCACCATGGGGCTTGATCCTGGGTCCCTGGGATCATGACCTGAACCAAAGACAGAGGCCCAACTAACTGAGCCACCCAGGCGCCCCAGGAATTGTGTGTGAATTATATTCATATCTGAGTCTGAGTTGGCCTTTCTAAATCTGTTTTTTTCCCCGTTTAAAGATTTATTTATTCATTTTAGAGCGAGAGAGAGCACAAGTGAGGGGAGGGACAGAGGGAGAGGGAGAGAATCCCAAGCAGACTCACCTTGAGTTCGGAGCCCAACGCGGGGCTCTATCCCATGACCCCGAGATCATGACCCAAGCTGAAACCAAGAGTCGGATGCCCAACCGACTGAGTCACCCGGTCGCCCCTGAGTTGTCCTTTCTAAAAATCCCTTTTCAGCATTTATGTTGTGAGATGCTTTGAGGTTCATAATTTGTTGATTAAAATGCTTAACATAAGATTTTTCCTTTGTTCTTAGACAGTTTCCATTAATTTGTATTTGAGTTATGTAGCCTTCATAGTGTAGATGTTCATTAAATTGAAAAGTTGAAAATCTAGATGTCCGTTCTAGCTTTTAGCCTATCCTGAATATGGTAAACATTAGAACATTTTCCTTACAGCGTTTCAAGGGTACTGAAAGTATAAGTAAAGTGTCTGAGCAGGTGAAAAATGTGAAGCTTAATGAAGATAAACCCAAAGAAACCAAGTCTGAAGAGACTGTGGATGAGGTTTGTATATAATATTATTTTATTTCTCATGTGAATTTGAGAAAAGTATTTGTTTACAGCACTGATTTCTCATAAGGGGTGGTTGAGTATGGCTACTTTGAGTGAACCAAACACTGATTTGGAGTGTGTTATCTCCCTTAGGTGTACTGAATCAGGAAAAAAACATGTAAGAACCAGTGCTTCACAGTTAATAAGCCTTTCCTATAAAATACCTCTAGCTTTGTATTTTGTATTTCTTCTATGTCTGACCAGAACTTCTGAGCTTCCAAAGCCATTTAAAGGTCCTGATTCTATAGCCAAGTTGGACTGAGTGTGAGTGAAAGAAATTTCACTGTGATTATTTTTAGCTTTTTCTAATGTACATGGTATCCTTGGCAATAGAAATAGTCCAGGCTTGGCTACAGGGTGTGGAGTCATCTGTCTCATCTTTCCCAACATAGGTTTTACATTGTGGTACAAAGGTTTGAAGAACCAGATAAAACCATTTCTGCAAATGGACAGCCTCAGTAGAGCCAAGGACAGCAGTTAGAACAGCCACAATAGAGCTGCATTGATTATAATCTTGCCACTTTTGATAATACCTTGCTAATTAAGCTCACTCATTCCTAGCAGTCTTAGTATCAGTGATAATAATTTAATAAAATATTCTTTAGGTCTTATAAAGAGGTTTCACCTAATGATGAAGGTATAGCATTTGGATATTTGTAGACAGAGTGTAAGTTCAAGTGTAGAATTATAGAAGTTTATATTGACTAAAGCTAGTTAATTCACATGATATTTTCTTGTTGGTTGAAAAGCACAAATTAATGTTTGTGGATATGTACACACAATAAAACAATTTTGAGGTTTATCACATCTAATATTTGATAAATGTTATATATACTGGGCAAATATTGAGCAGCTACTAAGGTAAATAAAGGTATAACAAAAGGATTGCAAAAGCTATTGGTAAAATAGTTTACCCTCCAGAAAATTAACAACAAAGGAGGTATGAGACAACAGATTGTATATTACTAAGAGGTTAAGAAAAAGAGAGCTACAAATAAAAGGGTGTAAGGGCTGGAACAATCTAGAGGGATCTTGTGAGGATCCTAAAGTATATCCCTTTTTTAAAGACTTCTTTTCTCAGGGGCACCTGGTGGCACAGTCAGTTGAGTGTCCAGCTCTTGGTTTCAGCTCAGGTTGTGATCTCAGGGTCGTGAGATCAAGCCCCGCATCGGGCTCCACGCTCAGTGCAGAGCCTGCTTAAGATTCTCTCCCCCCGCCCCACATGCTCTTTCTCTCAAATAAATAAATCTTTAGAAAAATAAATAAAGGGCGCCTGGGTGGCTCAGTTGGTTAAGCGACTGCCTTCAGCTCAGGTCATGATCCTGGAGTCCTGGGATCGAGTCCCACATCGGGCTCCCTGCTCAGCAGGGAGTCTGCTTCTCCCTCTGACCCTCCCCCCTCTCATGCTCGCTCTATCTCTCATTCTCTCTCTCAAATAAATAAATAAAATCTTTAAAAAAAAAAGAAAAAAAATAAAAATAAAATGCAAATCTGATTCTGTAACTGCTCTTTAAAACTCTTAATTGGCTGTTCAGTGACCTGAAGATTAAAAAAAAAGTTTCCTAACATGTGCTACATGCCTTTCCAGCCTCATCTCATACCACTGTCTCCTCACTTCTCCCTTGCAGACTATACTATTTTCATGCTGTGCCCTGCTATAAAAATGCTATTCTCGGGGCGCCTGGGTGACTCAGTCGGTTAAGCGGCTGCCTTCGGCTCAGGTCATGATCCCAGGGTCCTGGGATTGAGCCCCGCATCGGGCTCCCTGCTCAGCGGGGAGCCTGCTTCTCCCTCTCCCTCTGCCTGCCTCTCTGCCTACTGGTTCTCTCTCTGTGTCTGTCAAATAAATAAATAAAATTTAAAAAAAAAATGCTATTCTGTTATAAGCCTTCCCCCAGTCTCCTGCCTCAAAGAAACCTCTCCCAGCCTGTGGCTATACTGGGTTAGGTCGCTGTGTCATTCCTATCTTAGCACTTGTGCTTCCTCTTTAGGTCTCATAAACCCATACAATTATACACATGACTGTATTCTCTGCTGGCATGAGGGTCAGGACCATGTCTACCACCTCCCCTATGTATCTTCAGTATCTAACATATGGGACTTGCTCAAATATTTTTTGAATTAAGAATAGGGATAATTATGTAACATACTCATTTTTAGAGGCTATGATGTGATCCAGTTAACTGAAATTGTAGTGATTACTCTCAAAGTTCCTTTATCTGTCTACAAGTATCTAGTTCAGATCCAGTCTCAAGAATGTAGTTCTTTTCGGGGTGCCTGGGTGGCTCAGTCATTGGGCAGACGTCTGCCTTCAGCTCAGGTCATGATCCCAGTGTCTTGGTATCGAGCCCTGCCTCAGGCTCCCTGCTCGGCAGGAGGCCTGCTTCTCCCTCTCTCATTCCCCCTGCTTGTGCTCCTCTCGCTGTGTCTCTCTCTGTCAAATAAATAAATAAAATCTTAAAAAAAAAAAAAAGAATGTAGTTCTTTTCATCACTCTCGACTAAGAAATTGCTGCAGAGCCAGGTAATTATCTAAAAGCCAGCTCGATTCAAGCACATAACTCAGCTATAGCCTTGGGACTGATCTGATTTCTCACCATGAACTGAACAGGTTCTTGCAGTGAAACCCAAAATCAGATCAAATAACTACAGTGGCATTTCTCAAAGTGTGTTACATAGGTCCCAGAAGGTCCAAGTTGTTTTCTGGCATCATCAAAACCTGTACTTTTTGTTTCCTTGAAGATTCACAGTGCATGTTAGTTGATGACAACTCTGAGAAGTCATGCAGAATAGAGGCATCTTTAACTAGTGTTTCCCAAACTTAATTATGGTAGACCCCTTTTCTTCTCTAACAATGTTAACAATGCTAAGGAATAAGTGATCTGTAAAAGATACTTTGTGAAACACTGAAATGGAGGCTATCCCTGGGCAGACTGGCACCTTCACCATTAAGACTGAGCCATAATCACCAATTTAATGGTTTTTTTTGCATTATTCTAGGACCTAGATTTAATGTAGATAACACAATATGCCCAAGCAACTTGGGACAACAAATGGGAAAACAATGAAATGATATTAAGATTTAAAATGTGGTTATTGTTCACTAATCGTACCTTATCCATTCAAATAGTTATGTGTGATTTCTTTAATAAAGTCTTAAGATAGTCTAATATTTTTGCATAAAAAATTTACAGTCATTCTCATTTTATATTACCAGATTTTGTAAGTCAACCATATTTTTAAAATATCATTTATTTTTCTGATGTAAAAATATTTGTATGCTATTTTTCAAATAGAAAATAGAAAAGTATAGAGAATACATAATATTCCAGCACCTAGAAATGAACATGTTTAACATTTCAGAATGTTGTCTTTGAATATTTTCTAAGTGCATATTTATTTAAATAGTTGAGATATTACTATAGTTAGAAATTTCTATTGATTTTTCACTTTATAAGAATTTTTGCACATTATAAAAAACTGAGTATTAGATTACCACAAACGTGGTTATTTTACCACTATGGATAATAGTGCGTTGAATAACTGCACAAAGATTTTTTTCCCTAAGCTTCAGATTACTTTTTTTTTTTTAAAGATTTTGTTTATTTATTCATGAGAGAGAGTGAGGGGCAGAGGGAGAAGCAGGCTCCCTGGGAGGAGCAGGGAGCCTGATGCGGACTCGATCCCAGGACCCTGGGATCATGACCTGAGCCAAAGTCAGATGCTTAACCGTCTGAGCCACCCAAGTGCTCTTCAGATTACTTCTTGAGCATATATTTGTATGAATAGTATTATTATTATCACACTTCTAACCTTTAAAATTGCATTCCAAAGAGATGGCACCAGTTTACACTGCTTGTAGACACCTGACCATTTATAGTAGCATTTTTCATTAAAACAAGCTTGGAATGGGAGCATCAGCAAGGAAGTTAATGTTTGCTTTTGTAATTAATGCATGTACTCATGCTGTAGATGTGACTTGATTTAGAAAGGCAGCCTAGCTTTTGTTCAAAGTGCTAATTCTTAGGCTCTAAATTGAATATGGCTTTATACTCTATGCAGGCATTACTTTCTGGTATAAAAGATGGAAAAAAGACTATCAGGTTGCTGTGAGGTTAAATGAATTGACATAAGAAAAATAAAATGATTTGTGTAATATCTGACATTCCATATGTGCTTGAGTAAAGTGATAAAGAGCATGGGACTTATATGCAGGCTTCCTGGTTTCCAGTCCTCCGGCCACTTAGCTGTAGGTCCGTAAGCAAGTTGCTTAACCACTCTATCCTTATAGTTCCTTTTTTGTAAAATAGGAATAATAGTACCTAATTCATAAGGTAATAACAATTAAGAGTTAATTTATGTAAAGCATTTGGATAGTGCCCAACACATAGAGGGTACTCAGTAGTTGCCAACTATTTTAACAAATACCAGTAGAGGTTAACTATCATTAGTACAATTATTTGAAGTATTTAGGCATAGTGGAAGGAACAGGGGCTTTGGATTCAGACAAACCCACATCCATATTCATTCTCTGCTACTCATCAGCTCTGTTGCAAATTCCCTGAATCTCAGTCTCTTCATCTGCAAAAATGCAAGTAGGTGATACCTTCTTCAGAGGATTACAGTAAGTGGGGATTGTATGTGTTATGTAACTGGCAAATAGTAGATGTTTAATGTCTATTATCTTCTTTTCCCATTATTAAATGTTTTGTAGTGTAAAATTCTATACTTTTTAAGTTTTTTTAAGTTTTTATTTTAATTCGTTAGTTAACATTAGTTAACAATAGTGTTGTATTCATTTCAGGTGTACAATATAGTAATTCAGCACTTCCACATATCACCTGGTGCTCATCACCACAAGTGGACTTCTTAATCCCATCACCTGTTTAACCCTTCTCCCCCGCCCCCACCGACCTCCCCTCTGGTAACATCAGTTTGTTCTCTACAGTTAAGAGTCTGTTTCTTGGTTTGTCTGTCTTGTCTGTCTTGTCTGTCTGTCTCTCTCTTACTTTTTCCTTTTGCTTCTTTGTTTCTTAAATTCCACATAAGTGAAATTATATGGTATTTGTCTTTCTCTGACTTACTTCACTTAGCATTATACTCTAGCTCCATCCATGTCACTTCAAAAGTAAGATTTCATTCTTTTTTTATGGCTGAATAATATTCCATTGTATATATATACTACATCTTCTTTATCCATTCATCAGTCAGTGGACACTTGGCCTGCTTCCTTATCTTGGTTTTTGTAAATAATGCTGCTATAAACATAGGGGTGCATGTATCCCTTTGAATTAGTGTTCTTCTTTCAGTAAACACTCAGTAGTACAATTGCTATTTTTAACTTTTTGAGGAACCTCCATACTGTTTTCCACAGTGGCTGCACCCAGTTTGCATTCCCACCAACACTGCGAGAGGGTTCCCTTTTCTCCACATCCTCACCAACACCTGTTGTTTCTTGTGTTGTTGATTTTTTTTTTTTAAAGATTTTATTTATTTATTTGACAGAGACATAGCGAGAGAGGGAGCACAAGCAGGGGGAGTGGGAGAGGGAGAAGCAGGCTTCCCGCCGAGCAGGGTGCCCGATGCGGGGCTTGATCCCAGAACCCTGGGATCATGACCTGAGCCGAAGGCAGACACTTAACGACTGAGCCACCCAGGCGCCCCTGTGTTGTTGATTTTAACTATTCTGACAGGTGTGAGGTGATATCTCATTGTAGTTTTGATTTGCATTTCCCTGATGATAAGTGATGAGCACCTTTTTTTTTTTTTAAGATTTTATTAATTTTGTCAGAGCGAACGAGCACAAGCAGGGGGAGCAACAGGCAGAGGGAGAGGGAGAGGCAGACTCGGTGCTGCAAGGAGCCTGATGCGGGACTCGATCCCAGGATCCTGGGATCATGACCTGAGCTGAAGGCAGACGCTTAACCAACTGCGGTACCCAGGCGTCCCAATGAGCATCTTTTCATGTGTCTGTTGGCCATCTGGATGTCTTCTTTGGAGAAATGTCTATTCATGTCTTCTGCCCATTTTTAAATGGGATTCTTTCTTTTTTGGGTGTTGAGTTGTATAAGTTCTTTATATATTTTGGATACTCTTTATCAGCTATGTCATTTGCAGATACCTTCTCCCATTCCATAGGTTGCCTTTAAGTTGTGTTGATTGTTTCCTTTGCAGAAACTTTTTATTTTGATGTAGTCCCAACAGTTTATTTTTGCTTTTATTTCCCTTGCCTCAAGAGATGTATCTAGAAAGAAGTTGTACAGCCGATGTTAGAGACCTTACTTCCTATGCTCTCTTCTAGGGTTTTTATGGTTTCAAGTCTCACATTTAAATCTTCAGTCCATTTTGAATTTATTTTTGTGTATGGTAAATGAAAATGGTCCAGTTTCACTCTTTTACATGTTGCTGCCCAGTTTTCCCAAGATCTTTTGTTGAAGACTTTTTCCCATTGGATATTCTTTCCTGCTTTATCAAAGATTAATTGACTATGTAATTGTGGGCTTATTTCTGGGTTTTCTGTTCTGTTCTTTTAATCTGTGTGTCTGTTTTTGTGCCAGTACCATACTGTTTTGATCACAACGGCTTTGTAATGGAACTTGATGTCCAGAATTGTGATGCCACCAGCTTTGCTTTTCTTTTTCAAGGTCGCTTTGGCTATTTGGAGTCTTTTGTGGTTCCATACAAATTTTAGGATTGTTTATTCTAGCTCTGTGGAAAATGATCTTGGTATTTTGATAGGGATTGCATTAAACATGTAGATTGCTTTGAGCAGTATAGACATTTTAATAATATCTGTTCTTCCAATCCATGAGCATGGAATGTCTTTTCCTTTCTTTGTATCCTTTCAGTTTCTTTTTATCAATGTTTTACGCTTTTCAGAGCAAGGTCTTTCACCTGTTTGGTTAGGTTTATTCCTAGATATCCTAGTATTTTGGGTGCAACTGTAAATGGGATTGTTTTCTTAGTATCTCTTTCTGATGTTTCATTATTGGTATATAGAAATGCAACAGATTTCTGTACATTGATTTTGTATCCTGTGACTTTACTGAATTCATTTAACAGTTCTAGCAGTTTTTTGCTGGAGTCTTTCAGGTTTTCTGTATAAATTCTATACTTTTTTTTAAAATTCTATATGTTCTTAAATTTGATTAAGAAATTGCTTTTCTCCCTGAAGGGAGGTAGGTGGGGACGATGGGTGAAGTAGGTGAAGGGGATTAAGAATACACTTACCTTGATGAGTGCTGAGTAATAAATAGAATTATTGAATCACTATTGTGCACCTGAAACTAATATAACACTGTATGTTAATTACACTGGCATTAAATAATTTTTATAACATTTAAAAAAATAAAAAGGGGCTTAATTGATGCATTGACTTTTAAAGATTAGTTTCTTTAGTGCATCACAGTATTTGAAATAGTGTAAATAATAATCATACTGATAAGAACCAAAGACTGTATTATGGGAGGCAGAACACAACACAGTCTGTAATGAGCTTTGTTTGGCATTATAAAATCTATGACAATTTTTACATAGGATAAAATAGCTCAAGTAATTATTTGAGCAGCATTTGACATTAGTAATTGTAAGGCAATAATAAAGGCCTGGCACAAATTAGTCTTTCTCTTTTACTATCCATTTACATTTCAGTTTATCATACATATTTTTTATCAATAATAAACTGATACTTTATCAGTATTAAAGTACTGCAAAAAATAAACTGCTTTTCTCACATATGAATCACCACTCATTAGCCTTTACCTTTCTTTAAAAAAGAGCCTGATAATCCTGCTCTGTTCTAGGAAATATGTCTGTTACAGTAATTTCTATTGATAATTCTGTTTATTATATGAACTTTCAAGTTCAGAAACAAATGGAATATTACTGTATTCATTCTAAATTTAGTAATGTCAAGTATGGTGCTAAACAACTCAAATCTTTGAAAAAACTGTCACAATGCTTTATTTAGTGCCTTATCACTTTATAGGAATAATAGAATTTTGTCAAAAGAACATTTGTTTCCAAGGTAGCTGGAAGTTATTTGAAATTAAATTATAGATAGGCTATTTACTAATATTCTCACCACAGACTTGCAATTAGATGGTGAGTTTTTTTAAACCAAGAGGTGAACCAGAGGCAAAATGGTTTGTTACCGCATCTGTGAAACTCTGTGATGACTTGGGTCACAGTGGCTATGTAAGAATTCTCTTTGTCATCCTTCTAAAAGAAGGATGGGAGTTACTAACTCTCTGTTGTTTTTGTTTTTTAGGGTCCACCAAAATACATAAAATCTGTTCTTAAAAAAGGAGATAAAACCAACTTTCCCAAAAAGGGAGATGTTGTTCACTGCTGGTATACAGGAACACTACAGGATGGGACTGTTTTTGATACTAATATTCAAACGAGTAAGTCTAAATGTAATCTTATCTTTTTAGCTTTAAGGCATTGCATAATATTTGTGTGGTACATGAACAGTTGGCTGTACCTTTCTCTTGGCTGTCACTTTTTTCCAGAAGTCTTTTGCATCTGATTTACTTGTACTCAGAGGTCTTCAGTTCACTGTTTATTGGCTGGGTGAATAAATACCTCTTGGTCATTGGGGAGCAAAAAATAAGCTTAGTCTAAACTTGGTTAATGTCCCAGAGTTGAGGCTTTCGTATTTAATGTAAAAAGAACAGAGTGCTGTTTTAGTAGTGTAAATATTATCTCCCCCCTTTTAAGATTATTTTTACGTACAGAATTTTCTTGATGAGTTACCTTTCTGAATTTTTCTTTTCAAATGCATTATATGGTAAGTTCTAAAATTAAAGACTTAAATCAGTGTTTTTCCATTGGAACTTAATTTCATCATGCATTATAAGGAAAATTTGTTTTACAGGTTCAAAGAAGAAGAAAAATGCCAAGCCTTTAAGTTTTAAGGTTGGAATAGGCAAAGTTATCAGAGGAGTAAGTAAAAAATGGCAATGAATCAAGATATTCTGGCACATGCTACATGTGGTATGGCACCATCATTAGGATTGGGGATATGACGAAAACACTCTTTGGAGTCTGACAAATCAGGTGCTATCGTTGCTAACTGATCTGGAACAAGTTTTCTGGGTCTTGGTTATGGACGGTACAATCTTCCTCAAGGTTGCTAAACAAATGTGCATAACTACAGCGCATAGAGACTCAAATATTTTCTTCTTGCTTACCCCTTTTACTATTTTTTCATCATAAATTCTTCATCAGCAAGTTTGGCTTTCTAAATTTAATATTCTTTTAAAATGTTACATAGTTGTTGTACCACTTACTCATGATAGAGAAAGGTAAAATATCTGTTTCACTGAAGTACTTAATGATAGAAGCAAAAGTTTGTTCTGGGCCTTTTCACCTCTCACAACCGGGGTTCAAACACCAGGAAATCTTTCAAACATAAATATGCCTTTTTTACCTACCCTTACAAGGGAGAAATAATAGAAGGAAACTTTGAGAAAAGGGGAAGAAGGTAGGATCGAGCTGTACTGACCAATGCAGTGTACAAAAGGAGGTAATAGAGCAGGGCTGATTATCGGCTTCACTGAATTCAAGTTGTTATTCCAGGGCCCATTAAAATGTCTTTATTCACAACATCAAACATAACTGAAATGCCTATTAAATGCACTGTGAGAACCTCTGTGTTATTCTTTATACTGTGGGTAAGTCCTAAAATATGGCTCAATCATATTCAAAGCCCAAAACAGATTATAAAACATCTTGAAACTAAAGGTTTAGTTGAAAATAACCTTAACTGCTACTTGATTATACCAAATTGATACTGTGTATCAAGTTGATCAATTTTTCTGTTTCTGTGACTGATTTGCTTGTGTATTTCTTCTAGTGAACCATATTAATTTCCATTATGTAACAGATCTCTATCCCTTAAGCTTTATGTGACAGTGACAGTTCAACAGAGTATTTGATATTAGTCATTATATTTACCTTTGCATCCTGTTGATTTAACTGTTTTTAGCAACTGGCTTTAAGATCCAGGGCATCTGGTTGGCTCAGTTGGTAAAGCACATGGCTCGATCTGGGGGTTGTGAGTTCAAGCCCCACGTTGGGGGTAGAGTTTACTTTAAAAAAAAAAAAAATGTAAAAGATCCAAATTTGGACAAACTGGAGTGGCAGCCCAGAAACCTGTATCATTTCTTTGAAAAGTTTTACCTTCTACAGAAGGTCTTAATGCCCTAACATGTAGCTTATCTTATGTGTGCCATCATGACTACACAGTCTAGTGATCTTAAGACAATTCTATTGTTAGTTTATCCCTATAATGTAAATTCATAAGTTTGCCCTAGGATATAACAAGTGTAGCAAGTTTTTTATGATAGTACTAATAAACTGGTTTCCATAACTTAGAACATTTATCATTAAAAAAGTGCCTTCACATTGTAGCATTTTAAGAGTGTATTGCACTAAAGAGGGCACGTATTGAATGGAGCACTGGGTATTATACGCGAACAATGAATCATGGAACACTACATCAAAAACTAATGATGTAATGTATGGTGACTAACATAACATAATAAAATAAAATTAAAGAACTACTGCCAAATCAAATATTTGAATATCACAGATGATGAAAAATTATATTTATAAAACTTCCAAGAATTATATATAGAGAGATGCCTTATTAATTTTAATAATATATACTTTATGACATACTGATTTAGCCTATGAACTGATTTATCTACAAATGTCCAATAATTTTCCAGAACTAAATATGAGTACAGTTTGAATTCTGACCTGTGGTGCAAGTGAAATAAGAGTAAATAATTGAGTAAGAAAAAAAAGTGTACTGCACTAAAAAATTACTGTTTAATTTTTTTTCATTGAGGAAATAAAGGACAAAGATTCACCCAAGGACATTACCTTACAATACAACGAAATCCAGTAACAATGTTTTTTGGTATATTTGGCCTTCTAGTTTTTCATGAATTTTTTTTTTTTTTTGCAAATTATCATTAGTTTTTATTTCATATTCTTGCCTTTAGTGGGATGAAGCACTCTTAACTATGAGTAAAGGAGAAAAGGCTCGACTAGAGATTGAACCAGAATGGGCTTATGGAAAGAAAGGACAGCCTGATGC